TCAGAACATTGCCAATCTCCCCTAATGCTTGTGAGATGGAAAGGAGAGGTGGTGGGTTGCGCTCATCGCGGTGTCAGGCGACTCTGGCGGCAGCCAAATCGGCAGGAGATAGAATCAACCCGTGGATTCAGGAGATGAGTGAGGGGGGAATTGATCAAAGGTTCTAAGAGGAAACAAACTAACATGGGACAGGAGGCGTCCAGGGGTGCGGGAGCCGGGAGGGCGAACGAAACGCAACGAGGGTCGGACGAAAGAACGACGTAATAGGGGAAACGGAACTTTACGTTTCTTTTAGATATATATATATATATATGCACTGAGGCATACAGCCATTTCACTAAACGTGTACTGATCTGTTCTTCCAAATTGTCTACAATGAATTCAGTACTCATCTGAATGACTTTCTTTCTTTGTCTCTACGGAGAGAATTCATAACTTATAAATTGGACGTTCGACACCAGCAACGAAAGAGTGGCTCGCCATTCTTCAGTGATTCCTCCCTCATATGGATATCATGCAGCGATGTAGCAGACATTGTAAGACCCACCTAATCAACTATCAGATCTGGACGCTGCTTCAGATATGATTCCCTTGACGAGAGCCCCATGGGCTTGCCATTTGAGTGATGTGTCAACTATCAAAAGTTCAAAACTATCAGATTCGTACAAACAAAAAAGGATTTCCTGCAAAAAAACAGGATAGATAGAACATGAAGCAACTTACACGCATGATCTCGAGAGGATGTTGGCAGATAGCATCTTCCCTGCTGCAGCCGCCGCAGCCGACCGACTCAGTCGCCGAAAGCCGTAACGATGCCTCCCACCTTGGCCTCCTCCATTCTGCTAAGGTGGGGCTAACAAGATGTAGGTTTTTTGGGGGGGAAACTCGGATTGGGGAACCGCAACGATCAGGAGCAGCGTCTAATTGGGGATGAGGGGAAGACGGTGGTGGCGCTGCGAGGACGAATTGATGTAAGATGCTAGGGGAGGACGAACTGAGTGGGAAGGAGATGGTCGGGGCGTGGCCAGCGGCCGGATAGACAGCGTATGCGCCTGACGAGACGACCCGGCGGCGACGGCCATGGGAGGCCAGGAGGTCTCGCCCACACTATTCCTCGAAGCCATGGGCCAAGTTCCTCCGGAAGGCAACGTCCATTCCCTAGGACGCCCGCGTCCGTGACCTCAGAACATTGCCAATCTCCCCTGATGCTTGTGAGATGGAAAGGAGAGGTGGTGGGTTGCGCTCATCGCGGTGTCAGGCGACTCTGGCGGCAGCCAAATCGGCAGGAGATAGAATCAACCCGTGGATTCAGGAGATGAGTGAGGGGGGAATTGATCAAAGGTTCTAAGAGGAAACAAACTAACGTGGGACAGGAGGCGTCCAGGGGTGCGGGAGCCGGGAGGGCGAACGAAACGCAACGAGGGTCGGACGAAAGAACGACGTAATAGGGGAAACGGAACTTTACGTTTCTTTTAGATATATATATATATATGCACTGAGGCATACAGCCATTTCACTAAACGTGTACTGATCTGTTCTTCCAAATTGTCTACAATGAATTCAGTACTCATCTGAATGACTTTCTTTCTTTGTCTCTACGGAGAGAATTCATAACTTATAAATTGGACGTTCGACACCAGCAACGAAAGAGTGGCTCGCCATTCTTCAGTGATTCCTCCCTCATATGGATATCATGCAGCGATGTAGCAGACATTGTAAGACCCACCTAATCAACTATCAGATCTGGACGCTGCTTCAGATATGATTCCCTTGACGAGAGCCCCATGGGCTTGCCATTTGAGTGCTGTGTCAACTATCAAAAGTTCAAAACTATCAGATTCGTACAAACAAAAAAGGATTTCCTGCAAAAAAACAGGATAGATAGAACATGAAGCAACTTACACGCATGATCTCGAGAGGATGTTGGCAGATAGCATCTTCCCTGCTGCAGCCACCGCAGCCGACCGACTCAGTCGCCGAAAGCCGTAACGATGCCTCCCACCTTGGCCTCCTCCATTCTGCTAAGGTGGGGCTAACAAGATGTAGGTTTTTTTGGGGGGAAACTCGGATTGGGGAACCGCAACGATCAGGAGCAGCGTCTCATTGGGGATGAGGGGAAGACGGTGGTGGCGCTGCGAGGACGAATTGATGTAAGATGCTAGGGGAGGACGAACTGAGTGGGAAGGAGATGATCGGGGCGTGGCCAGCGGCCGGATAGACAGCGTATGGGCCTGACGAGACGACCCGGCGGCGACGGCCATGGGAGGCCAGGAGGTCTCGCCCACACTATTCCTCGAAGCCATGGGCCAAGTTCCTCCGGACGGCAACGTCCATTCCCTAGGACGCCCGCATCCGTGACCTCAGAACATTGCCAATCTCCCCTACTGCTTGTGAGATGGAAAGGAGAGGTGGTGGGTTGCGCTCATCGCGGTGTCAGGCGACTCTGGCGGCAGCCAAATCGGCAGGAGATAGAATCAACCCGTGGATTCAGGAGATGAGTGAGGGGGGAATTGATCAAAGGTTCTAAGAGGAAACAAACTAACGTGGGACAGGAGGCGTCCAGGGGTGCGGGAGCCGGGAGGGCGAACGAAACGCAACGAGGGTCGGACGAAAGAACGACGTAATAGGGGAAACGGAACTTTACGTTTCTTTTAGATATATATATGCACAGAGGCATACAGCCATTTCACTAAACGTGTACTGATCTGTTCTTCCAAATTGTCTACAATGAATTCAGTACTCATCTGAATGACTTTCTTTCTTTGTCTCTACGGAGAGAATTCATAACTTATAAATTGGACGTTCGACACCAGCAACGAAAGAGTGGCTCACCATTCTTCAGTGCTTCCTCCCTCATATGGATATCATGCAGCGATGTAGCAGACATAGTAAGACCCACCTAATCAACTATCAGATCTGGACGCTGCTTCAGATATGATTCCCTTGACGAGAGCCCCATGGGCTTGCCATTTGAGTGTTGTGTCAACTATCAAAAGTTCAAAACTATCAGATTCGTACAAACAAAAAAGGATTTCCTGCAAAAAAACAGGATAGATAGAACATGAAGCAACTTACACGCATGATCTCGAGAGGATGTTGGCAGATAGCATCTTCCCTGCTGCAGCCGCCGCAGCCAACCGACTCAGTCGCCGAAAGCCGTAACGATGCCTACCACCTTGGCCTCCTCCATTCTGCTAAGGTGGGGCTAACAAGATGTAGGTTTTTTTGGGGGGAAACTCGGATTGGGGAACCGCAACGATCAGGAGCAGCGTCTCATTGGGGATGAGGGGAAGACGGTGGTGGCGCTGCGAGGACGAATTGATGTAAGATGCTAGGGGAGGACGAACTGAGTGGGAAGGAGATGATCGGGGCGTGGCCAGCGGCCGGATAGACAGCGTATGGGCCTGACGAGACGACCCGGCGGCGACGGCCATGGGAGGTCAGGAGGTCTCGCCCACACTATTCCTCGAAGCCATGGGCCAAGTTCCTCCGGACGGCAACGTCCATTCCCTAGGACGCCCGCGTTCGTGACCTCAGAACATTGCCAATCTCCCCTGCTGCTTGTGAGATGGAAAGGAGAGGTGGTGGGTTGCGCTCATCGCGGTGTCAGGCGACTCTGGCGGCAGCCAAATCGGCAGGAGATAGAATCAACCCGTGGATTCAGGAGATGAGTGAGGGGGGAATTGATCAAAGGTTCTAAGAGAAAACAAACTAACGTGGGACAGGAGGCGTCCAGGGGTGCGGGAGCCGGGAGGGCGAACGAAACGCAACGAGGGTCGGACGAAAGAACGACGTAATAGGGGAAACGGAACTTTACGTTTCTTATATATATATATATATATATATATATATATATATATATATATAGGGAAAATCCATCCTACCACCCGGTGGTAGTTACCCCACATATCTCATATACTACCATCTGGTACTATATATACTATTTTATTATTTTAAATATGTTCATATAATATATCTAAGATATTTCAAAGTAAGTTACATAAAAAAATTGCATATGAGCCCATAGTTTTTGTTATATTTGTGAAATACGTACATATTTGTACGTAAAAAAGAGCATACTCAAAAAATAGTACATACTACCTAAAAATTTGTATATATACTACCTAATCATTGTTATATAGTACGTAGTACACGTACATACTCTCGGTTTCGACAAATACTACATACAACATACAAAACGCAAGTGGTGGTAACTACCACTGTTTGTAGAAAACATTTGTCATATATATATATATATATATATATATATATATATAGGGAAAATCCATCCTACCACCCAGTGGTAGTTACCCCACATGTTTCATATACTAGCATATGATACTATATATACTATTTTATTATTTTTAATATGTTCATATATTATATCTAAGATATTCCAAAACAAGTTACATGAAAAAATTGCATATGAGCCCATAGTTTTTGTTATATTTGTGAAATACATACATATTTGTACGTAAAAAAGAACATGCTCAAAAAAGGGTACATACTACCTAAAAATTTGTATATATACTACCTAATCATTGTTATATACTACATACTACACGTACATACTCTCGGTTTAGACAGATACTACATACAACATACAAAACACAAGTGATGGTAACTACCACTGCTTGTAGAAAACATTTGTCCTATATATATATATATATAGTAGAGAAGGTAGAGATTCCGATTGAAAATATGGTGTCTTTCCTTTACCGGACAGCATTGCACGGGTCGGATGAGGCGGTACGAGAGAGGGGGCGGTTGTAGGGCAGCCGGTGGCACGAGGCAGACCGGGCGGTGGCACGGGGCGGAGGCCACGCGCGCACCACGCGCCTCCTCCCCTCCCGTGCGGCCGCAGCCAGAAAGAAATGTCCATGGCCACGCAGCGGCACGCGCCAGGCGGGGGCACGGCACGGTGCCAGCCACGCGCCCTCGCGTGCCCCTCTCTCCCCGACCCCGTCCCCACACACACGTGGGCTCCCTCCCTACACCCCATGGCCCACGCCTCATCGCCACGCCACCGCCCGCGCAACGGAACGGGCACGCCACGCGCCCCTCCGCCCCTTTTCTTCTTCTTCTTCTTCTCGACTCTCCGCCATTGCGCTAACCAAGGACAGAGAAGCCAGGCGGCAGCAACCCCTTTCCTCCAATCTCCGTCCATTCGAGGTACGTACTAGGTACTACGTCGTCTGCCTCCTCCAATCTTTTCTCTTTGGGTTTGGATTGGGGACTGGTTTATACGTACGGCTGACGGCGGCGGTTTCTTGGTTTCTATCTCCAGACGTCTGCGGGGCCGGGCAAGGCATGGTCGCCATGCTGCCCGCCGCGAGGGGGGACGCCGCCCCAGCCGCCAGCGCCGGCGCCGCCGACAAGCTCGTCCACGGGTGAGGCCTCTTGCTTTGGAGCGGCTCCAGATCTCGTTTCGTTTTGGGGATTCAGCCAATGGATCTTGTACTGTTTATTTTCATTCTCTGAACGCACGCCGGGAGTAAATGGACGCCCGTGAGGGCTGTGCCCGTGCTCCACTGCTGCTGATGTAGCACCTTTCGATGCGCAGGCCTGTCACCGACGGCAAGTGCAAGAAGAAGGCCCCGAGGATGATCCACAAGGCCGAGAGGGAGAAGCACAAGCGCGACCTGCTCAACGATCTCTTCAGCGAGCTTGACGAAATGCTAGGTGAGTTGAGTAGGTGTGCATGTTTCTGAATTCTGTCACGGCATTGCTCCAGTGACCCTGTTCCTGAATTTTGGGGGTTGTTTTCTTTTCCTTGTGGTTATTTGGGATGTTACGGTTGAGCGTGCGTGGGCATGTGTGAATCTGCATCATGTTGTTATCATCCATGTCCAAGCCAATGTTTTTGAGTGAATAGTAGGGTTCAGTATGTGTAATGGATTTCCTTAGTAATAGTAGATCCCAATGAATGTTTATGCTGATGAAAACGTGGATGAACTTGACAACTTGTTACAATCCGTCAAGCTTCAGCTTCGACATTCACTTACGGTGTAAAGCAGCCTCAGACAATGTGAATGTGTACTGCCTGTTTGTCAGCAGCATCTTACTGGTCTTGGATTTTTTCATGCCACTCAACTAAATTTGCCACATTAAGCATTGGGTTTATTCTGATCGAATTCAACATCATTTTGCAGAAGCAGACAGGCAGACCAATGGGAAGGCATGTATATTGACTGACACCACTCGAATCCTTCGAGACCTGCTTTCGCAATTAGAATCTCTCCGAAAGGAGAATAGCACCCTGCAGAATGAATCCCATTATGTAAGTCGCTTCTATAATTGTGTTTGCTTCCCTTCTTTTCCGCACTTGATGGTTTATAATTGGTATCTGATGACCCTATGGACTGCCAATTTTTTCGTTTGTGCATAAGGATAACTAGGCAAGAGACAAATGCCAAAATTATCATTCCAGAATTGCTGCAATGCATTTTATCACGTGATACCTACATACTCGAGCGGTTGTTTATTATCCCATCTTCATTCTGCCACAAACAGGTTACGATGGAGAGGAATGAGCTGCAGGATGAGAACGGTGTGCTCCGCAATGAAATTCTGGAGCTACAAAATGAGCTGGCGACGCTTCCCGCAGGCAACCCAGGTTGGGGCCATGCTACTGCTGGATCGCCTCACCCTGCGGGCACAGTTTTCCCGTCACAGCAACCAATGCAGCCGACCACCATCGCAAGCGCAGTATTCCCCTTGCAGCACCCTTATGCACCACCACCACCACCACGGGAACTTAAGCTCTTCCCAGATGCTGCGTCTGATATCGAAGGCCTTGAACCATCAGAAGATCAGGAGGCCGCCAACCATATTGCGCGACCGCTGGCGAGGTACCCAACACAGTCAGCGTTGTGGCCTGTAAGCCTGGGTCTCCCGAGGATGGAAGACGAACAGTGTAGCAGTGGCACAACCGGCAGTAGCAAGGAAGGTAGTAGCTCTGCCTCTAGTAGAGATTGAGTAGATCAGCTCCAACCAGTCAGGAAGTTTCTCTTTGAGCGTAGCGAATATACACAGATGAGCATGTGGCATGTAAATACCAGACTCCATCTTGGATCTGGGAATGTTATGTTAGATGAGAAGATGACACTCCAATGGGAATCAGAATAGCAGCATTTCTCATCCTTTGTGTTGCACCGTATCATATATATGAACTGATCTAGATTTGATATTTGCAAAGAAAAACTACAGCAATAAGCAATGGATTATATTTATCGGTGGGGGTTTCCTTTGGAGGGGGAACCAGAAGCGGAACTGAAGAGGAAATTGCAGGCGACTCTCTTCAACCATGTAGAGGGTTGCTTAGAGGGTTTCCTTTCCTTGCATTGAGGCCAATCTCTTCAACCATGTACTTCCCTGATCCAAACCCAAAGAGAATATATGAGTTTTAATGAAGCTAGCAATCTGCGACCATATTGTTTCGGTGTCATTTTGGAATTTGGATAAAATTGTATAAACATGTATTTGAAAATCATTACTTCAAAAATATGTTCGTGAATTTGTTTTCAAATTATAAAAGTGTAAAAAATCATGTAGATTAAAAAACTATTTTGTACTATCATTCAAAAAAATATTTCATCATGTATTTGAAAATCATTTAACACATATTTAAAAAAATGTGTTCAGAAAAATGTTAAACCTATAACTGAATTTGTTTTTAAACATATATATAAAAAAATTCAGATGTATACGAAAAATATACAATGTGTATGGATAAAATTGGACATAAAGTGTATATTTGGAAAAATGTTAATCATGTATTTGAAAGAAGCTAACTATGCACAGAAAAATGTTCCTGGTGTATAGGAAAAATGTACAATGTGTATGAAAAAAATAAACATGTATTGAAAAACGGAAAAAATGAATAAAATCAGTACTTAAACACAGAACATCGAAACCAGAAGAAAACAGTTGAAACCAACACATAAAACCAAAAAAATCAAAGAAAAGGAAACCTGAACCGGATAAACAAACAGAAAATCAAAAGTATAAGATACCTTATTGGGCTGGCCCAGTAGCACCTCGACGCGAAAAACACTTAGAGGGATGAGCAGCCACCATCTCGACCATATAAGCGAGATGGGACTGTCTCAAAATATATATAGGGTCGCGCTATTCGTCACCCTGGATGAGGAATAGTTATTCTTCACCCCCCCCCCCTCTATTTAACCATCAATGCACCGTAATTTTACGTTTCATAAGTTTTGTCTTATTTCCGACGCAAAAAGGGACCGTAAGAAAATATATAATCATCGTAAAAAATATTTTATGTTATGTAAAATTACAAACGTAAAAACATAGTCTAAAATACACATAAACTGCAAATTTTCTTGTCTTATGACCTATATTTTTATTTTCTTATGTCAAATTTTACGTAGTGAATCAATAGGAATGTAACTATTTGAATTCGAAACATAATTTAATTATGAAATGATCGTATGATTACCCCGGGTGAAGAATAACTTATTCTGCATCCTAGGTGATGAATAGTAACACTATATATAAGCGAGATGGGAGCTCCCATTGAAATACTCATCGTGTCCAACAAAGGCATTTTGCACAAGAGCGCTCCCTATTGCGCACTGGACAATATTTGAAAGCACAGATTTTTTTTTTGAATTTGTGAAGAAATTTTGAAAACGTGATTTATTTTCAGTTCTAAAAAATATTTGTAACAAGGACCTTTTACAAAATCTTTAATGTTTTATAGAATTTGTGAATTTTCGGAAAATAATAATAAAAGAAATGAACACAATAAAAGGAAAACCAGATAACCTAGTAAAAAATAACACAAAAAACTCAAATAAAATACCGGTTCACAAACCTTCTACTAAGTTCCCAAAATCGGCCAGGAACTTTCTAGAAGGATCCGGAAATGGGATCATGTACTAGGTTCTCTTCTACAAATGAGCCGACCCATAGGATGGACACAACACAACACGCGTCATATAGAAAACTAGATAATACTCCGTACGTTGTTGCGGGAGTTGGCTGATATATTTTTTGGTGAAGTTGAAACATGAATATTGTATAGATGTAAACAAATTATGGGAAAATATTTTTCACATGCACGGTTGCATATTTCGGTGGATCATTTGCCATGCATGGTAGCATCTTGAGGTGGCCTTATTTACATGCATGACTCTATGTTGACATGGCATAGCTGCATACTAACTTACTAGGATAAAAGGAGATAGTCGGGATCAGTCTCTTATGTATATAGAAAATAGGATATAGGATACCCCAAAGAAAATCGTTGAAAACTAACACAAAAATAGATGAAACCGACAAAAAAAGGAAAAACAGAAAACCAAAAAATGAGTGGAAAACTAAAGGTATATCACCCCTTCTTCGACCGGCCCAGTAACACCTCTATGCGAAAAACCCTTGAGTCAAGAGCAGCTACCATATCACTGTAAGCAAGATATAGCTCTCGCGTTCCCTCCAAAACAACGTAAGGCACGATGGCGTGTTTCCGACAATGGTACCGTTGATTAAGGCTTACTACGCGGTTGCTAAATCGTGATGGGTTGTATTTACTTTATAATTTGTTGTGAAGAAAGTAGACATACAATAAATAGACAAAGTGGGTCAAAATAAATGTTAAGATTAACAAAAACAATTGGATCAGAGTGAAAAATCACAACACTAAAAGTTAAGAAGGCTTAGGAGGTTCATTCAGCATGTCCACGAATTATTTCTCTTTTTCTATGAATACATAAAGTGTGCGTATCTTTTTATTGATAAAGGGAAACATAATGAGTACATGAAAGGGCACACACAAACACATATATAAGAAGGTGTGTGCATGGAATCCGGAGCAGAGAGACAAGAGACGCTTAGCCCGAATAGAGGAAAAGAAACACAGCTAAATCCACCAAGCCTGAAAGAGGGGTAGGCCGAACCGGCATGACGTCAAACATCTCCAAAGCCAACACCGAGGACGCCACGAGCAACCAAGATAGCGCCTTCAAGAAGGGGAGCAGCGACATCATCAATCCGAAGAAGCGGACTAAAAGATCTTCCCCGATGCTCGAGGAGGGCCACAGGTAAAGGCCATGCCAGCGTCTCCAAGAAGGGAAACAACACCCGCGAGTGTTGCCGCTGCCAACGCCAACAATTAGAGCAAGGATTACACCCTGGCCTAAGTCCAAATAATCTCATTCCCGTCATATTAGGATTCGGAGATGAGGAAGTCAGTTTGTTGGTCGAGACCACCACCTCAAAAGGGGGGGAGGGGGTGCCGCCGCGGCGCGACAGGGACCAAGCTGTCCCGCCGCCGCCATCCTAGGGCACAACACAACTTTGCCGACAGGCCCTTCGGCAGCGGCGATGCGGAGGGGGCGACAAGGAATGACCCTTCCAAAGGTGGCTAGGGTTTTGACACAGTAACGCAGAGGACCAACAGTGGGGAGCTCCCATTGGGCACATGCAGGCAAGTGTGACGTTGCAGAGGCCGGGCTCCATGGAGCCTGTTTTGCCATGAAGAATCAAAGTATACTTAAAAGTTTCAAAAAATATCAATTTTTATACAAATACATACGCATGTTCGTCAAGTATGTAAAAAAATTCATCGGGTAATTCGATTATTTGCATGCTACACAAAAAAGATTAACATCCGGCCCTAAAACAACAAAGATAAAGCCCATTTTAATCTGTGTATTTATCTTTTTTGTATACATTACATGTGAATATATATATATATATATGGTCATGAAATTTTATACATGTAGTATACTACAAATACACATCGACGTATATATATTCTTTCAGGATTTTTTATACATGAACTGAACTGCCTTTGGTTTTTGGCCGGACACGTTTGTTTTGGTGACACAATCTAGTATACAGATTCATACTCATACAGGTAGGCGGCTGCTTTTCACTTTCGGCCGGTAACAGGTGAGCGCTGCGTTCACACACATTTTTTGTAAGTCATCGGACTATGGGTACCTGCATGTGCCAAGCCGACCACACAATCATGATCCGATTCTGTTGCGTTGCATTGACCGTCGCATCGCCGCTCTTCATAGTACTCCTACTTTTTTTTTTTGCGGGTGATAGTACTCCTACATTATTATTATTGTTATTGTTATTATTATTATTATTATTATTATTATTATTATTATTATTATGCGTTATGTACTTTTCTGCTGTCGTGTAGTACACGTGGTGATGTGTGCGAGATGCTTTGTGTCTTACCCATCGGTCAAATCACATCGGCACTAACTACTTTCGTTCCCAAAAGATGATGTAACGCTGTGTCGACTCCGGGTCTTATTTCGATCATGGATATGGTTAACAAAATGCAGAGTTATGCTTGCAAGAAGATTCTGGTGATGTGAATTTTGTTTAAAAGAGGTTTCCGGTCGTATATACTAGGTAGTATATAAACCCTCAGTTCCTAAATGTAAGTCTTTTTAGATATTTCAATATGGACTACATATAAAGCAAAATAAGCTCTAAAATACATCTATATGCATTCGTGTGTTATCCCGATTGAAATATTTAAAAAGACTTGTATTTAAAAACAGGGGGAGTATATGGCACGGGCGGCCGGTAGCAAGGGCTAACGAGCCGTAGCCGGTGGAGGCAAGTTCGAAACTTGATGGTTTGGGGAGTTCGTCTAAGAATTTGGATGGTTCAGGCCTTCTTTGGTTCATAGAATAGGAATTTTATAGAAATAGGAAAATCATAGGAAATGAGATGACATGCATGTCAATTCCTATAGAAAAAGAGATGTCATTTGGTGCATAGGATAGGATTTTTTTCATTAAGTCTAGACTAATGTTTTTTTTCCTCCAAAACGTGAAGGCTTCAAAGGAATTTTTCCTTTGCAAATCTTATCCTATAGAATTCCTACAAAAATCCTACAAACCAAAAGAGGCCTCAACAGTTTACATGGATGGCCAAGGGGCGAAGCATGGTGGAGGCAGGCGGTTTGGCCTGGCAGGATTGGAGGTTGTCAGAGGAAGAGGAAGCCACAAAATCGTTTTCAAGCGATTGACCCCTAGCCAGTCCCTTCGTTAGTCAAACAGGCATGAACTAGAACCCTCAAACCCTGGATAAAGGACAAGCACTTCTGTCAAATACAAGGAGAAATGGTAGTCCATAGACTGATCGAACTGTAAAGTCATGGGTGGTTACACCGACTGCCTCATCATCTACCTAGATACAGACTTCGACCGGAGAGCACATGCATGCATCATCTCTAAGCACCATCTCCAACAGATAGACCAACTGATCAACATACATCACCGATTCACAATTCCTCCCAACATGTAACCGCAAAAGCCGCCTTGCTATCCACAAAATTCCTCTTCAGCTCCATTCTGGACTCGTACCGCCACAAAATTCAGGCTTCTCCCAAAGCCGCCCAACCTCACTCGCTTCCTCCTCTTTGATGATCGGCGCCGTGGTTCCGGGCTCGGGGCGGCGTGCCGGAAGCCGTCAGGCGCGACGGGCGGTGGACGCCGTGCACCTCTGGATCGTAGGGCTGGGAGGCAAGGTAGCTCAGGGCTGTGACGACGTCGCCGATCAACGGTCTCAGGGTCGGCTGTTCTTGCACGCACATTGCAGCGACGGCCAGGGCCTGGTACAGTCCCCTTGGCGGGTACCGGCCCTCCAGCGCCGGGTCTGCCATCTGGGGGAACTTCCTCCTGTCCTTGAACAAGGGCCGGGCCTGAAATTGTGCACCAACAAACGTTACATCAGTAGGGATTGCAAAATACTGTACGACATCTTTAGCAAAGGCTTCGGCATGTCATGACCCTATTCATTCGATCCTATGGAACAGACTACAATAATGTCTTTTTGGGAAGCCAAACCTAGGCCAATCCAATAATGCCAAAAAAATGTAGTATGGAACTATTTATTCTAGTACAGTAGCTTTTTAGTAACCCTACAGCTGAAAAACGTTGCGAGCATGATATTTTTTTAGCTGAAAGAAAGGACAATATTCCTTCAAGCAAAACTAGTGTAAATTCCAAAAGTGGAAAGAAATACAGAGATGACTGAAAATCAACCTCCTATGGTTCCCCTTCAGGTGATACGCAAGGTTGATGCGCTAACACTCAGCTTAGACTAACTTCCGAGCTAAGAGGCTGATATCTGGTGGATTTTCCAGAATAAATTAACAATCAATGCTCACAAGAGGCAGCAGGTTCCACAATGTGATTGTGATGTTCTCTTTACTCAAACTCCAGTAGTCTATAATGGAATGAAGAAGAATAACAAGAAGAAACAGAAAGGAACGTAGCAAAAAACAAATCGGCAGCTTACCCATGCAACAAGATTTTGCTCCCCCGCAGCTCGGGTGTTGTCGATAGCCCTTCGTCCTGTGATGATCTCCAATAGAACAACACCATAGCTGTAAACATCTGACTTCAGAGTCAGCTGACCAGTCATAGCATACTCGGGGGCACAATACCCGTATGTACCCATCACTCTGGTGGAAACATGTGTCTTATCACCAACTGGGCCAAGCTTTGCCAATCCAAAGTCAGACAGCTTTGGGTGGTATCCCTCTCCGAGCAAGATGTTTGAACATTTCAAGTCCCGGTATATGACAGGAGGATTTGTTTTGTCATGCAAATGCTCCAGCCCTTTAGCTGCACCAGCGGCTATCTTCATCCGTGTATTCCAGTCAAGGCGGGGTTTATCTGGGGAAGGATCTGAATAAAATAGGATCCAGTTGTGAGTACACAAAGTTTAATTATCCAACAGAAGCTGTACCAAAGCAGAAACACATTCTTTTTCCGGCAGCGTACCGTGAAGGTGGTCTTCCAAAGAACCCAGCGGCATATACTCGTAAACCAAAAGCCTCTGGTCGCCATCGGCGCAATAGCCAATAAGGTTGACCAGGTGTGGGTGGTGCAGCAAGCTCAGCATGAGGACCTCAACAAGAAACTCCCTGTTGCCTTGCAGTCCATTTCGATCGAGCTGCTTTATGGCGACAACCTGTGACGGCAACAAAATACATTTCACCATGTCAATTAGCTTCAGGAAATAGCTTGACAAATTCTTGCGCATAATTAACAATTCTACCACAACATTATTGCTCAATAGCTGTGAAATGTAAATCGACCGAGGATTAATAAACACAATCCTTGAAACCTGGATAACCCTCATTTTCTATCACATTGAAAACGAAACCCGCAGCCTAAACCCGGTCTCGGGTTCAGGCTGTGTGACACGTTCACTAGGAGACAATTTACATGTGCTCCACACAATCCTCCAAGTGGAAGCTTCTAAATAAACAAAATGGTGCTCGTGAACTGGGAGGGCAGAATAATTAGCAAGAACCTCCTCACCTGGTTGATGCTCTCCAGGTACCCCTTGTAGACCCGGCCGAAGCCACCCTCCCCGAGAAGGCAGTCGGCCCTGAAACCGTTGGTCGCCGCGGCGAGCTCCCTGAAGGTGAAGGTCTGCGCGGCAATATGGCGGTGCTCGGACCCGTTGCTGAGGACGAACTCCTTCTTGGCCTCCGACAGCGAGTCCTGCCGCGCCGCCGCCGCCGCGCTCGTCGACGACGAGGAGCACCCCGGCTTCGCTTTATTGTCTGAGAAAAACAAAACGCATGCGTCAGAATCATGAGGCGAATAAAGAAGACGGGGAATTTAGGGAAAGGAGTGCACGCGTTGTCTGGCGGGCGACAAAAGTGGCGAGCACGCGTCGTCCCCGGCCGGAATCCCGGCACCGGGCTGCCATGTTTCGGGGGGAGGCGGATTCGGCGGGATGCCATGATTTTGGACCGAGTTTGCGGCAATTTTCTGGAGGGGCGAACTTTTCTCCTTTTTTCTTTTGAAACAGGGGAGGGGAGGGGGGAACTGGACTGACGGGACGGCTCGGGAGGCCCGTGAACGAGGGACGGCGGCGGGGGCAGCCCGAGGCCGGAGCCACAAATTGCTCCGCGGAATCTCGGAGTGGCAGGCAGAATCGGCGAACTACGCTGTGAATCTAGCGAGGACTAGCGAATCCGCGACGGCCGGGGCGAGGAAGAAGGCAGCAAGAAAGAAGGCGGTGGCACGGGCGGATCACCTGCGGCGGGAGGGATCTGGGGCTTCTCCGGCCGCGCCGGCGTCTTGCGCTTCTTCCTGGCGCCCAGGCAGGGGAAGCAGCAGTCCATGGCGGCTCCTGAGAC